TTAAAAAATTCAATTTAAAAGTATTTAAAAATGTGTTGATAATCCGGTCTCTATATTTATGACCGTTTCCTAAATTTATGAAAACGTTCATAATATGGTGTTTCGGGGCGGTGCAGTCCGCGCCGGTGGTTGTGACGGTAACCAAACTTTCGGTGCGGCGCAACCCGCGCCAATGGTTTATGACGATAAGTGGTATTTTAGTGTGGCGCAGCCCGAGCCAATGGTTTGTGACGCTAACGGGTCTTTCGGTGCGGCGCAACCTACACCAATGGTTGCGACATCAATCGGTCTTTCGGCGCCGCGCAACCCACACCAATGGTTCTGATGTCAACTGGTCTTTCGGTGCGGCGCAGCCCGTGCCAATGGTTGCGACATCAATCGGTCTTTCGGCGTCGTGCAGCCCGCGCCAATACGTCAACTAGTCTTTTGGTGTGACGCAGCCCGCGTCAATGGTTGCGAAAACAATCGGTCTTTCGGTCCCGCATAACCCACACTAATAGATCAACTAGTCTTTCGGTGTGGCGCAACCCTCGTCAACGGTTGTGACATCAATTGGTCTTTCGGCCTCGTGCAGCCCATGCCAATAGGTCAAGTTTTTCGGTGCGGCGCAGCCCGCGCCTATGGCTGCGACATCAATCGGTCTTTCGGCGCGTCAAAACCATGGGTTGTGACGACAAATGATATTCGGTATTATTCCTTTTTCTATGTACAACCAAATATTACTTAAGTCATGCAGGATTTTCAAAGCTTGACATGATGAATCTATGTTACTTCTATACTTATGCATTACGAAGATCTTACAAATCAAAGAGGCTTTGAGTTTTACAATAGAAGAGTAAATCTGTTTTGAGATTAAATCTAACCCAAATTGTCCCAATGCCACAAATATGTGGTTCAATGGATACATAAACTATAATAAATGATAACCGTGTGCGTCTTACTCCATGAAAGAAAATAGAAAGTTGTTCCTCATTGCCAATCAATCTTTTTTCTAGAAATAATTTCTCTTGCTTTGAACCTTTTCTTCTAGGAGTATTATTTTTTACTAAAGAATTTTTTATTCAGAAGTATTACAATATTTTTGAAGGATTTTGCACATTTGTTAAATATCCATATGTGAAGTTTGATTTGTTGTTTAGTAAGGATTCCTCCAGTTGACATTACAACATTGTTTGGAACGTGGTTAACTGGGGTTGAACATACTACGGCGGCCCGTATTCGGATCGGAATATGTGCGCTTTTGTGGGCTATATGGAATTGCAGGAATGATTTGATATTTAACAGGCAAAATAATTTATCTTTCTTGCAGTCATCTTCAGAGCTACTGCTTGGATCCGTACGTGATCCTTACTCACTCCTATGGAATCCAGGGAGCCGTTGGTTACTGGGTGCATCCACTGGGAGATGGTAGCACAGGCTTTATTCAACCGGTTCGGATGGCGGTCGCATAACAGAATAGGAGTCTAGGGAGCTTATCCTTTTTTTTTTGCCATTCCGGTTATGTTTGTTGGCATGAACTTTGTTTCGGTTTTCTTTTCGCTCCACTTGCGAGCTGTAATACTTTGACAACTTTGTGTTACTTTGCGAACTTTTAATAAGATGACTGCATGCATCCTTATGATGCAGAGGCCGGGGTATACCTTCATTTCCACAAAAAAAAAAAAGATAACCATGTGCATCTTACTCCACAGAAAAACCAGAAGGATGTTCCTCTCCATTACCAATATTTCCTTTGTATCTACAACGAAAACAGGGAGCGGCAACGGCAATCAGCTAGTGGCATGAGTCGTCATGACAGCCCGGCACATGGATCCTGAATTCTGAGAAAAACTATATGCAAATGTCAATGCAGCCCCATGTGCAGGGGGGACAGCTCATGCCCCGCGATACATATTTTCCTTTCCATCTCATGCAGTTTGGTCTTATGTTAGTTGTTAATTAAGTAGAAGAAAGGTTTAGCTTTGTGAGCACAAAATCTTGGGTTTGGTGGATCAATCCTACCGACACAGGCTAGCACTGGAATCAATCAACAAATTTTAATACCGTCTTATGTACCCTAATCTCTCAGTAATAGTCTTTTTAAAGCAGTTACGTGGAAAGGATATGATATATAAAAAGAAAGGTGAAGGGTTGGAAGAACAAGTCTAGTTAATGACTCCTAGTTTAATTTAGTGGTATTCCTACTGGTTTACAGTGGCCACTTCTTTTTGAAAAAAATATTAATATCGCGAAGATACTAATTACATCCATCTATGCACTAATAAGACGTCTCAAAGACATTTAAGATGCACATAGCCTGAAAAAAACAAATACCTCGCCACAATAATCAACTTCTCTAAGCAGCAGCACACAAGCCACCACTCGGAAAACACAAAAGATCTCCAAAAGCGACGTCTTCAAGAAGGAAACAGTGCACAAACGCCCTCGTCGTCTGATCCAAGATCTTAGGTTTTCACTCTGAAGAAAGTCCCAACTCTCAAAACAATACCTTCAGCAAGGCAATTATCAATGAAGGTCGGACCTTAAGTTTTCATCCTGAAAGTCACGACTCGACACCTCAAGAGCAGTATCAAAAATGAAATCCTTCAGGATTGCCGCCCCCACTTGTCTCCGATGCTTCTGAAAGTTATCAAACATCTGACTGACTCTATCACCTCCAAGGCCCCCTTGGCCTTACAGTGGCCACTAATGACAACTTGGTTGCAAAAATATATGCCCTTGTAATAAGTATCATAAACCTTGTGAAAATGGCATAATTCATCGCACTTCATAATGCAAATGAACATTAGAAAAAGGAACAAAAGGTAAATGTAAAAGAAAATCCATGATCGCTTGCAGCATGGAAAGCGAGCTAACGTTTGAATTGTTGGCAGAATTATTAGCTGTTTTTTCTTCTACAGTTGTACCAGAGATCATGGCCATCAGCTTTCTAAAAAAACTCGTCATGGAATCAAGTGACTAATCAACTAAACCATTTCACTTTCAAGGACCAGTGGACCACAGAAATCAAGAGAAGCCATCTGGCCATCTCAGAATTGCATGAGAAATATTTTAGCTATTTGAGATTGTGGCTCTAGTTGTAGCCGCATCACCTCAATGCATTTTTATTGTTTTCTTGCGGACGATAGAGTAGTCGTCAAGAACTTCTGGTGATACACTCAAACAGTGCCAGGATTAGATTATTTGGATTGCTGGGACCAGATCGATTGCTTCTTGCATTTTTCTTCCTTCCAAAATTTGTTAATTTTCATGACAAACTTAGCACAATGACAAGCAACCAATAATTATTTTTTAGGAACAGTTTGGTTCCGTGGGAAACTAAAACTGAACCTAAAAACATTTAACTCGTGCTCTAGAAAGAGCCTTGAGGATATATTTTTGTAAGATAGCACACTTATCATATTGATTTTTTTTGCTAATGACTTATCGTATTGATTTTCTTGCCCTGTATAAAAAGTGCACACAACCAAAGAAAACCACCTTGTCACCGTGTCATTTCCATGAGATTGGAGTACTAATAAATGTCTCCAAACAATAACCAAAAAAAGCTTGGTTACGACTGTGCCCACTGAGGAACCATAATTTTGATTGAGTTTATTAATTTCTTCATACATATTGAGAAAATAATACCAGTGTTGTAATATTTTCTTAATGTAGTTAAAAAAAATCATAGAAGTGTTTGTTTACGTCTTAGTTGAGCGAAAAAAACATACTTCTCGACCGACTTCAGGAGCTATGTAGGGCGCCCCTATACCTGTATCGATGGTGTTTCTAAAGGAGATGGGCTCGCTAGGGGCCTTAATGGTGGCCGCAACACCCTTACTACCATCGTTGGAGCACAACCAACCACTATGTCTTGAAGGTTTGGATGCTACTGTCACTAACTCGTCAGTGACCATTGGGCAGGTGGTGTCTGTGGATGGCGACATTGTTGAGGCAGGTGCATTGACAGCTAATTGAGAAATAGCTTTACGACTTGATCGCCGACCTGGAGGCGACTAACTCTAAATCTGGCAAGTCGATTGCTTGCCTCCTGGCGAGGAAGGCGACCAGGGGCAAATTCAAGAAGGGGGACGTGCCCTCCATGACTGCCTAATGGATGACCCTGGTCTCTTGGACTATCCTTGTGGTTTGGCTTATCACTATGGATTTGGTAATGTTCGTTGTCTTCAGTCGAGGTGTTCTTGTTGGAAGGTTCCTTTACGATGTAGAGCTGTGAAGCTTTGTTATTGGTGCGCATTGGGAATATTTGTCAGGTCAATCGTGCATTCATGCTTTATGAGTTGTCTACACATGCTCTGTTTGTATTGGTTTTTAGTTAATTAAGTGGACAAATCTTTTGCTTCCGTTTAAGAATTTTTTTTGAGATAGATAGTTCTCAGCATCAGCCGAAAAGTAAAATTGTAAAAATCCATTCAGTTGAGATTTAGCAAAACCTAAAACAAACTCTCTGAACAAAATTATACTAGCACAGATGCTATGGATTTGTGTGACTTAATTAATCAAAGATCAAATCTTCTGCCTCTGTTGAAGGTAAAAATAATGTGAGACCGATAGTTCTCAGCATCGACAGCGAAGTAAAAGAGTTAAAAAAATTCCATTCAATTGAG